GTTGCTTCCAAAGCAATTGATGACCCATCCTCAGCCTCCACATTGATGAATGACATCACACACACTCCTGATGACTATAGTTGGCTTGATGGCTATCAGTTTCCTTCAACAATCCAAGGATTAGGACACAACGGTTCTATTATCGATCATTCAATGCATCCATATCAACCTGCTTACAACAACGGCAGTAACTCTATGGGGATGGTTAGCTTTCCTTTCCCCGGAAAACAAGTGTCATCTTCATTGTATGCCCAGGCTGAAAACCAAAATGGCTGGCGAGATTTGCAGATGCCCGAGCAAATGAATGTACTCCAGGAACAGCATCAACAACTTCAGCTAGGAAATCAACGTACTGTAGCTCTGCCTCAGCAATATCAGGTTCAGTCAATGTGGGATGGTGACCGTTTCTTCGTGTGAGACAAATATTGAATCCTAAACGGTAAGCTAAACTTTTTCTCACAATAGTTAACTATCCTACTTTTCAAAGCCTGGTTTTTTGGAATTACGTTCTCCCCTATTTTTTATTTACACTTTTGTCTTTACTGTGTTGAATGTCAAATGGTCAGTTGCTATGAAGTTCAGCCATCATGTTTGCGGTGTGGACAGTGTTATTAATGTTTCCTGGATGGTCTTTGGATTGTTGCGGGCACCTGCTGTTGAAGAGGTATTTACTTTCTTAATGCCATCCATTAAAAATGATTTCCTCTTGCATCCTTTTATTGCTATAGGGGTCGTTGCTAATGAAAAGCAGTAAGAGTGAAAAACGGGAAATATGTAGAAGGAAATAAGGAATAAAAATTCGGCAAATTCAATTTTTTTGAACATGTTTTAGTTATATGCTTCTATTATACAAATCTAAATATTTGACGGGCTTAACAGTTTCTAACCAAGTCTGATTTTCTTTTCTATAGTTTGAGGCAAAACAAAAAAATGATTTCCTTGCCATTGTCTCCCATTTACTTTCGATTATGTAGTTTACATACATAGCCTGAGGCTGCAGGGAAACATGCGTCATCGTTTGAAGCTGACTTGTTTTTTGTTAAATAAAAAAACTTATGTATGTTTTGGGCTACAAAATGCAGCTTGTGCCGATCTTTCCAGACTGGATGATGAGTGGAGGTTGTGGCATCAATAGGTGTACAAGAATTGGTAACCGAGCCTCTACCTATAGTTCAATTGTTACGCACAAGTGAGATATGGTATCAGTATTTTGGTGGGAAGCTGGGAGGGAATTCGGATGAAAGGGAATTTGTGCAAATCTACCTTCTCGCTGCTGCTGGTGGATAAGTTTGTCTCGAGGATGCGTGCTATTTGTGGAACAAAAGTGCACACACTGGAAATTCTCATGCCTCCTGCCATAATAAATAATACGACAAGAGCCTTCAGTCAAAGATAATACAGAGTATGAAGGATTTAAAAAATCATGGCTATAACCATGCTTTTAGATTGGAATAAATTTATGATCATTGACTACTTTTTTTCGCGGTTCTACTTAAAATTGCTATTTGGTTTTGTGTATTTCCATCGGTTGGGAATATGCTGTTGTTTTTAAGACTTGTTTCGCTGCTTGCACTGCTATTATATACACATATTACGTAGTACAGTGTTTTCTGTTAAAGTTTTGCTTTGGTTGCCTGTACTCATTGCTAGTTCTTTTTGCTGCATTTGCTTTAGTCTTAAGTCTTAACAAGGGTATTGTTCAAGTACTCTTCATGTTTGATGCCAAGTATACTTGCAACTGAATTTTAAGTAAAGTGATGTTAGGGTAGCAAGGGTAGAATGAAGTAGTTTGACGTAAGATAGGGGCAAATGTTGCTCCGTGTCCAGTTTTTAGCTTAGCTGTGAACTATCACAACGTTCGTTTCAATTGTAATGATGTTTCTGTAAGAGGTAGCAGGATGCAAGGGAATGACGAGTGAATATTTAATCTGTTTTCATATTAGGTTTTAGAGTTCAGAAATTTACCCATTTTCGTGAAAGCTTCGAGTTGCCATACGTTGCATTTTATTACCCATGTTCATCCCTTCATTTCCCTTGAGCCAAACATAGGGTAATTGTAAACTTTTGAATTTTTAGGCAAATTGAAGTGATGATTCTAATAAATTAATTATTAGATGCTTTTTATAATCCCACCCCCAATCGTTATTCCGACTCCTCTTCCCGAGTAGTCCAATACATCCCAGTAAAATTAGACTTTTATCCTTTTATTAGTCTTGTCATTTCCAATTGCTTTACAAATTTATGATTTTGTATTGTTTATTGGCTTCAAATACATTAAGTGGATTGAGATTTTAGGATTTAAAGCTTTGCGGTTTGCTTTTTGAAAAATATATTCTAATTAGTTATTTTTGGGTTGTCTCAACTTTTAATAATCTAAAATTTATAAGTTTTTTTAGTAGTAATATTATGAAGTTTTTTTAGTAGTAATAGTTTTGCCTCTCATATGTAGTGCTTTTAGATATATGATAATAAGAAGATAAGCTTCCTAACGATTGAGCAAGATAACTTTCACATGGTAAATTGGTTATTGGTAGATTTCAACTTCAATATGGTAAATATGAGCAGAAAATATTTCTTTATCACATGTAGTGCCTTTTGGTATAAGATAAGCATACTATAAATGAGAGGAAGAATTTTCTCACTTACATACTGCTTTTAGGTATAAGATAAATGAATTAACAATTGGGAAGGATCATTTTAAATCCTCTCTCATATGTAATGTTTTTAGGTATACTAGATAAGCAGACTAATAATTGAGCGGGAACATTTTCTCTTGCATATATAATGCTTTTAAGGATAAGATAAACATATTAATAATTGATGGGAAAATTTTGTCTCTCGTATGTATTGCTTTAGGCATGAGATAAGCATAAGATAAGGGGAATAATAATTGAGGAGGATAATTTTCTCTCATATGTATAGTGTTTTTAGGTATAAGAAGATAAGAGGACTAATAAATTAGCGGGAGACTTTAATCAATACATAGTGCTTTTAAGTGTAAGATAATGTCTAATAATTAAGCGGAAAAAATTTCTCTCATACATAGTTTTTTAGGTATAAGAAGATAAGTGTAGTGATAATTGAGCCAATAGCTCCCTCACTCTCTAATCAGACATAGACTAGATTATCCAATATGTAGTGCTTTTAGGTATTAGAAGATAAGTTTACTAATAATTGGTCGGGATAACTTTCTTTCTCATATGTAGTTCTTTTAAGCATTCTGTAAAAGAGAAGTTGGCTCACAAATAAGGGATAATTTTGCCTCTCATATGTAGTGCTTTTAGATATATGATAATAAGAAGATAAGCTTCCTAACGATTGAGCAAGATAACTTTTTCTTTCATATGTAGTTTTCTAAGTATGATAATCCGGCTAACAATTGAGCAGAATAATTTTATCTTCCATATGTAGTGCTTTTAAGTATAAGAAGATAAGGCGGCTAATAATTGAGCGGGGAAATTTTCTCTTTGATACTGTGTATGTATTGTTTATACTTTATGGTATTAGCTCATTGTACTCTTATTTTTCGAAAATATAGATTCCTAAAAAATATTTTATTTTAATATTTAATTAGACAATGATTAAATATATGTAGCAACTGCTCTTTCCCGTGTGTATGCACGGATACTATACTAGTTTAATGTCTAAAATTCACAAGGTCAAATGTCAAGAAAGTTGATTAAGAATGAGGTAGTACAAATAGTAAATACTACAGAAGTCAGAAAGAGGGTAAAAACTTGTAGTGATTAAATGGAAAAGTATCAAGATAGAACGAAAAAGTATAACAAATACTCCGTACAAGTGTTCATGGATTCATAAATGAAAAACAAACTCGATATCAAATAGAGAAGGTGCTGTATGTAATAAAAGAATTGCAAATTTTTATATTTATTTTGTAGGGAATATTAAAAGTGGACCAACCATAATTTGGATAACTATAACTTGATCTACAATCAATCCGAACAATCGATGACCGGTGATGACTCACAAGGGACCATTACTGACAAATGGCTCCCTTTGCAATGGAACTAATGATTTACTCCCTCCGTTCCATTATGTTTGGGACATGACGGAGTAGCTCAAATACCAAGAAAAGCTGATAAAGTTGGTCTTTGGCAAAAAGGTTAAACAATGTTAAAGTAAACCACCGTAGGTAATTAAAAAATGAAATAAAACAAAATAACTCACTAAACTCTTTATGTTTTAGTACAGGGGTAAGAGCGCGTACATCCGACTCCCCTTATCCTGTCGTAGATGGGAGCCTTTGTGGCATTGGGGTAATGATAATGAATTGATGATGAGATTGTGAATAGTTGAGATTATCTGTATTGTTATTAATTTGGTTGTAAGAACCTTTACTAGTCTTCTATTAAGGAAAAAATATTACAACATCCGTCTCTTCTTAGTTAGTCATCTTTGTCTTTTTTCAATCAATGATGATAAACTTTGGTCAATCGTTTTAGTTAATATATTTTCGTGAAACATGTAAATTATATACTTTTGTGATAACATTTTAATAAAGAACATTTTGCTATCATTTTAATTTGATATATGAATATAAAATCTGTCAAAATTTAACATCATTGAGAAGAGAAGTCCAAAATAGCTAAGTAAAAAGGGAAGGAGTAAGTAGTTTACGGTTTTAAACTATTTCACCATTACTTTCTATTCACTACTCATTCCCCATCCAAACCTCCCTACCGCCGTCCAAGCTTGCTTTTTTGAAAGAAGCTTTAATGCAACGCCATATACAAAAATTGATTCAGGCATTCAGCCATGTATGGAATATGTTTTCTCTTTTTTTTTTTGTCTAAATAAGATTACCACTTCATTGTTAAATACGTCAAAAACTAGAGAAAGTGAAAGCTTGTGCAATTTTTTTTTTTAACAATTGAATGAGAAATTTGCTTATGTTTTTTTGATGAATAACCTATAATTGTCCAACCCAACAATAAACCCATCATAATTACACAATTCCCTTTTTCTTGATTTACCTATCACTTATAATTGCCAACTCATTTAGGAATAGAGGTATAAACAATTAAGCTCAATCAAAGAGCTTTTTGAGGTAAACTATTACATAATTAAAAGTGGAGCTCATCAGCTTAGTTAATAAAACAACCAAGCCTCTGGCTCAATATGGCCTATGTTCTAGACTTACAAAACAATGAAAGAAAAAGAACTTATATGTGCCAAAAATGAAGACTAATTGCAGCTGCAGCACCATGGCTTAGAATAAACTACAACCAGAACATGTCCTAGCATCCATTTTGCAGCTTCTTCTAAGTATCCTCTGCAAAGACCTTGAAAATATAATCCCGAAACCGCCTCGAGTATGCCCTGGGATCAATGGCTGAGATGGAGTTTGGATCACACTGGATTGACTTGTATGCATGCTCAAGCTTCTTAGTGATATCATAGTCTTGGAGTATGTCTATGATACTAAAGAACAACACCACTTTATAGCACTCTCCTGTTGTCTCTCCCACCAGCTGCAACTCCCCTTCGCTCTTCCTCTCCGTCCTCTCCACCCTTGCAGGCATGTTTATGCCCAGTTTCACCTCACCTTTCCTGTTTTCACACTCACCACAAACATTATTACTTACCATTGGTTCTTATCTACTTATTCCTCTTTTCTTGGATTAAGAGTTTAACTATCGATGTTGTTATTCATACCTTGAACTATCCGAGATATCCGTATCTTCTTCTTGAGGATTAGATTCATTATCTGAGGTACCACCATCTGCATATGAGTGGTAAATGTAAATGAGATGATAACAAATGTACTCCGTATGACATAAAAATGTCACTTTTACTGTATAGAGGCAATGTTGGTTTTTCCGGAGTAATTGGAGTGACTATGGTGATGTTCTATGAAAAAACTCAGGTTCTACCATATCAAGGGTGAAACAGCAAACTACTAGTAAATCAAATGTTCAATAGATTTTCTAAATGCAAAGATAGATAAAGGGAAAAAACTTCAGAAGAGTGCAGCCTAGTACCGTTGGGCATTAAATCTCCATTGCTGGTGGCTTCTTTGAAATGAACACCAACCAGAAGGCTGTAATCCATAATTCTCTCTTGTTCAAGCAACTCACAATCCTTGTCTACTTGCCTGCATACAGTGATCTTCCCATTACTCTCTGATTCTGACAAGTCCCATAGAAAATGCAAGCAAATAGAATCTCAGTGTTGGGGTAAAGTTGTTACCTTTGGAATTCTTCAAACCATGGGGTTTTTAACCTGAATATGAAGTTGAGATCAAGATCTTTAAGAGTAGTTGTTGAATCAATCTCTGATTCTGGTTTATCTGTTAATCGCCCAAATGTTGACCCTTTGAGGTCGAACCGCCTATGAATCGTGTAATTTGTGCAGAAGAGATTCCCCATTATGACAAACCTCACCTAAACCATGCTAACTAGATGAAGAAAGTTTTTGTTTAATGAATAGGAAATGAATGAACTAAATTGAATGTTGGATTCACCTTCTTTTGGGTTGGGCCATTTAGCTTCAAACAATGCAACCCAAAGTATTTGGTAATAAGGGTGTTATCAAAACCATGCACATGATTATAGTATGAATTTAGCATCCTTATTAGTACCTAGAAGCAAATCCACATACAAGATCAATGATGAAAATAAATGGGATGAGGATATTAAAGCGGGGTTTCGGGCAATGTCTCACTTTGACTTCTGCCTTCTTCAGCGTTTTGATCATGTAACGATCATCATTTGTCAAGTAGAAAAAGCTTCCACTCTTTCCGGGAGAAGAGAGCTCCCGGAGAGCATCATTTCCACATATGGAATTTATGTAATCATTTGGTTCCACCTTGAATAACAATCTTAAAGCCCTGTAAAACAGAAACATAGCGCTAAAACTGAGGCCTAACACGTAGGCAAAATTTGGTCAAGTGTAGGCTACACTGGAGTAATAATAATTTGGAGGTGGTCAAGGGAGTGAGTGAGAATGAGTTTGTCTTTCCTGTTTAAGCCAAAAGACCATAAAGCAAACAAAATCATTCCCCAGGCTTAATGTGTCTCACAAAGAGACACATTAAGTTCGTTCAGTAAAAAGGCCTTACTTACAATGGGTTAGACATTGTAAGTAAAAAGGCCTTGGAGTAAACAAAGCGCTTTTGTTCACTAGTTACAACATCTCAAGTTTGACCGTAAAAAGGCCCTAAGATGGCTATACTTTGCTAACTAGTTTGGGGTCAGGCAAGACCTAAAACAGGTCAACTATCATAGGGTTTCTTGCAAGTTGTCTAACATAATTCTATCCATTTAATTAAGGGCCCGGACATAAGGCCTATACAGAACCAGGTGGATATTTTTAGAACATCAACATCAAACATGAATCCTTAGGGGCACATTTGGTGGCTATACCTGAAAACTTTTGGACAATAATCCTTCCATCTAAAGTCACATGACTGAAATGGCAACATACTTTTGGATCCATCTGGTGAAATCTTAGACCAATACTTCTCCTTGGGATCGAACGCTGATGGTTTTAGATCCAATGACGCTGCAGCCCCGTGCTTCCCAACTGAATGCCTAATAAGTTAGTTTCAAACACATCAGATCAGTGGCACAGCCATAAATTTAGTATTATGGGAGCCAATGTTTGTAAACACTATGAGGGCCGAAACTTCACAATCGAAGACTTTATAATGTACGGAGTAGATTTTAAATGGAGTAAATTCCTTAAATAAGACTAACACATTACACATTTACTCAAATAGGCCTACCTACCTGATCCCCATCTGCAAGTTCTGCATCAGTTCATAACTCTTGTGCCCTTTACAGATAGTCTCGCCTTGTTTCTTAACAATCTTGGGAATTCTAAGAGTGTTCCTTCTCAATATGGTATCTTCTTGCTGCTGAGTACCAACAAAGGTGTCGTCGGGAGCACAGAAGATGCTCGTCGGCGTCCCAGCGCAATCTGACAACCTCATTCCTGCAAACTCTTTATCCACAGCAGCATCTAATCTCCCATCAGCTGACATTCTCCTATGCTTCGCTGCCATATTTGCGGATTTCCAATCTGCAAGCTTTTGAGAAGGGAAAACTGTGACTTTGTCAATGGGACAAACCTTACATTCCTTCAGTTCATGACTATAAACATCCCCAGGATTCCATTCATGCCGATTATCCTCACCTTCTGAAGCAGCAGAATGGTAAGTCCCATTCTGCTCTTCAGCTGGATCATTGCTCCAATTTCCTTCATAGTAACTGTCATCTGCCCATCTGTATATCCCGTTCCCTTTGGGCAGCCCATCTTCCCATATCCCTTCGTACATATTCCCGTTAGTCCAATACATATTCCCTCGGCCCGAAATCTTCCCGGACTTCCATTCTCCGACGTAGTAGTTCCCGTTCTTCCACGTGTACCTCCCCTGCCCTTCTTGCAGCCCTCTGCTCCATTCCCCATTGTAAGTGTCCCCATTGGTGTATTCCTTCACCCCGAGGCCGTGTTTCATGTTCATCACCCACGAGCCTCGGAAGGTGTCCCCGTTGGGGCCCGTGTAGGTCCCGTCTCCGTCCAAATACCCGCTCTTGAAATGGCCCTCGTATATAGCCCCCGACGGCCAGCTGAAGGTCCCCTTCCCCATCGGCTTGCCGCGAAACCAATCGCCGACATACAGGCAGCCGTCGGTCCACCAGTACTTTCCCTGCCCGTGTGGGGCTTCGTCGGCCCACTGCCCGGTGTAGTAATCGCCGTTGGGCAGAAACCTGTCGGCGTGATACACCTCTCCGTTTGCATGCCCGCAGTTGAGCACAACGACGGCGACTGCCTCGTCTTGGTCATCGTCGACGACGTCGTTGAGTTCCTCTACGGTGGAGCCACCGTAGGTACCGAATATTGTGTGGGCTCGTCTCCGGGCCGCCGCCTGCGTCTTCCTCACGGTTGCCTCCCACGCCTTCATCACATAGATTTTTCAAATAAATCCCCTGTTTCGGACAGAGATTTCTCAAGTTGGTAACGGAAAATGGATAATAGAAACTTTAATTTTGAATGTTTTGTATAATATGCATTTGTTCAACTACGTACGCTAACCATGCAAAATGATGGAGAAGACAGAAAAACACTCCTGTCTTCCATTTTTCTTTGTTTCCCACCGACTTCTTCGCCTTATCATCTCCTATCTCCTATGTAAGTACACATGAGGATCTTTTCAAAAAAAAATTGTTCTTGTATGATCTCATCAATTAATATGGTATTAGTAAAATTGTAAAATATGGACATTTTTTTTTACTAAAATTACCAAGTACATGACATAAAAAAGTTACTATATGTGCTTAACTTGAAAATAACTAGAATGTAAAATTGAACGTAATAATACTCACTGAAAATTATTAACATAATTACTTTGTACGGAGTATAACATAATAATTACTTTGTATAAGAGTTCACATTTTTGTCTGTCATATGTGTGATTATTTCTTCTAATATTATGGTTTATCTAATTTTCGTAAGACCAATAAAGTGTGATATGGTTTGATCTGAGATTGAGATCACTTAAATTGAAAACATGCTAGGAGTCTCTAAAAGAAATTGTTCAAAACAGGTTAGGAGTAAAGTGTATACAAAATTTTTATACAGAAGTACATATGTTTTCCCTGTCCAGCCCCTCCTGTCCGAACCGCCGTTCGAACTCCGCCGTTTGGGGTGGTTCCCGGTGGAATTTTTCGATGAATTTTTGTGAGCATGTTCCTCATCAAGTCTAGTTTATCCACAAAAAATTTCAGCTCAAAATTCGATGTGGAAGGCATTCAAATCATTTTTTGAAGTTGACTGCGCCAAAATATACATATAAAAACGCAGTCAACTTCAAAAAATGATTTGAATGCCTTCCCAATCGAATTTTGAACTGAAATTTGATATGGACAAACTAGACTTGATGAGGAATATGCTCAAAAATTTTCATCAAAAAATTCCACCGGGAACCGCTCCAAACGGCGGAGTTCGGACGGCGGCTCCCGTCTCTCTGGCTGGACCTGAGCATTACTCTTCTTTCTAAAATAGAAGTAATTTATGAGTATTTTGATACAGAAGTACATATGAAAGAAAATGAAACAATAAGAATGTCCAAAAAGAGTGAATGAGAATTATTTTAGAAAAAGACATTGGAACTCATATTTATACAATGATTTTAATAATATAAATTTGTAAAATTATAAAACTACACCTTTAAGAAAGTAGTTTTCAAGTTTTCTTATCATTTTAAAAAATTTGTTAAGGAAATATATCTTCAATTAAAGATTAACATCATTATAAAAAAAAATGTAAAAAAAGTGTGAGTACCTAGTAAAATGATAACGTCATTGTTGATCTTTTAAATAGGAGATCATTGGTTCGAGTTCTAATCAAAGATGTCAACATTATCTTGAACATATATTAAAAAAAAAGGGGGAATTTGACTTTGCACCCTACTTTTTGGGTGATATTAGACTTTGAACACCCCATTTTCAAAAGACTTTGACTTTACACCTCATTTCACTTAAAAGTCATTTAAGTTTGCACCTCATTCAAAATTTTTTCTTCACAAAATATTTATGATGGGGTGCAAAGTCAAAGGTTTTTTAAACACTAGCACAAAAAGTGTTTATTGCAGTATCTATTTTTAGTATTTTGTAGCATCATAGAAATTGCTACAATATAGTATCTATTCTAACATTATTGTACCAAAAAATGCTACAATAGGAAGTTAAAAATGCTACAATACATCTATTGTAACACCATTCAGATGCAACATGCTAAAATTGTTGCATTTGATATATTGCAACATTTTTGACCCATATAGCAACATTTTGCATATGTTACAAAAGCTATATTTTGTTGTAGTGAAAATGGGGTGCAAAGTCCAATATCACCCAAAAAGTGGGGTGCAAAGTCAAATTCCCCCTTAAAAATGTCAAAAATGTCATAACAACTTTTGTTGGGCGTTAACAATTTCTAAAAAAAAAGCGAAAAATAAACTCGCACAAGGAAATTTATTAAACATCGATATTGCGAGCAACCTGATAAGCACAATAATTACTTATGTTTTACATAAGTAATTACATTTATATGTACAAAAATGTGAAGCGAAAACAGATAAATATTCTCGAGTTAGCGGAAACATGAAATACGACATGGAGCAACGAAAATAGGGTCAAAAGTCAAAAGGGATCGAAAACAGGCACTTCTGGATCAATTTGGGGCATCAAACGAAGAAAAGAAGCGAAGTACAAGTTTGGGCGCAGGAACCGGCGCCGGATGCCCTATAACCGGCGCCGGTCGTGGGGATTTTTTGCCCAATTCGAGCCTGTTTCCAACCGACGCAGCGCGACCGGTGCATTTTTGCACCCAACCGGCGCCGGACATGCTTCAACCGGCGCCGGTTGTTCCGATTTTTTGCTAAAACAGCTTGACGTGCAGAAGATTTCTGATGGGAAAAACCCATCTTCCTCCATATCTGATCAAATATTGCTTCCATACCCGATTGTTAGGCTTGAATAGACTAAAAGATGCCTTTTTTTAGCCTATATAAAGCCCTTAATTCATCAAGCAAAAACATCCCATTCCACTTTAATTCCTAGTTTCCATACTTTATTTTTGCTATTGTTCTTCAAGTTCTTGAAGAGGAAACTTCAACCTCCGGAACCATTGGTGTTTAGGTATTATTTCCTTTGTAATTTCATGTTCCATTACATTTCAATATTGTATTGTGATTAATATGAGCATTAGAGGCTAATTTCTTAGCTAAGGCTAGGGATGAACCTCTATGCATACTAGGTGTTTGATAAAAGTTCTAAACCAATAAATTGTGATTTATCCTTTACATTTTGATTGTTTATGACTATGGTGTACAACATAGAAGTATGTTAAATTTAGTTTATACTTGCAATTAACGTTGAAGTCTAAACTATGAACATTAAAGGATAAACATATATATTACCGAGAATAGAAATATATCCGGTATTATATGATACGGGTGTGATGTCTTGATATTCAACGGAGTTTTCGGTAGATGAATGTAAGCCGTAACGGGACTTACACGTAACGAAAACCACGCTCTCGCTGCCTTAACCGGAGTTGAGAATATATTAGCGACATCGTATTCATAATTATTGGTAAAGAACTAATATTCAACCCTATTAAAACATTTAAGTGATTCCCGAAGCCTTAGCCGTTGTTATCATTCATTTTAAATCCGAATTAATTAAAGTTGTTTCCTTGAATTAAAAGTGAAAAGCCAAAAATACAAAACACAAATCAAAATCTCTGCACTTTACTCATTTATTTATTTAAAAGTCATCTACTCTCGGACTAAATTAAACAACGTTTCCCTGTGGATTCGACCCGGTATTTTACCGGAATTTATTACTATATCGGCACTTGTACACTTGCAAGTTTAGCCCGGTCACAACCCTAATTCTCTCTCTCTCTCCGTAGAGAGCTACGACCGTTTCCTTCTACGTATAGTCTTTTTTCCCGTCGATCGTCGTCGATCGTGTGAGTGTTTTTTTTCTCATCTTGTGCTTCGACGATTATCAGCGCAAGGAAGAATGAGATATACAAGCAGGAAGGGGTTAGATCTTCATGGATTTCCAAGAGACAGTGTGCATCAAAGCTTTAAGCGTTAGTCCAATGAAGGAGTTGGTGGATCAAAGCCACAATATGGAGATTGTCACGGGCGAAGACATATTAGGAGGCGACACGGGTGACGAGCATACGGGAAGCGGTAAAGGGCTGAACAAGGGATAAGACAGATCGACGGTCCGCCCCCTCCTGGACCGCCGCCTTGGAGCTAGCGATCGAGGTGTCAGGGCTTGGAAGATGATGTTTCAAAAAAACTAGCAGGAAAGAGTTTGGTTTTATCTGTTATTTTATTTCTTATGGTTTTATTTTCGCGTTATGTTTTTTTATGTTTCTCTATTTTTTGTTGATGTCTTTATTTTTAGATTTACAATATTGTTTAACAATTCTGCTATGTATTGACAATTCTGCTATGTATTCAATTACTACCTCAGTAACGGAAAGATCTTCCCATTTCTCTTTTTTAATTGTAACTAAATAATCTTCTCATTTCTATATCTTCCCATCATACGCTCAATAATTTTAAAAATAATACAATATTACACCTACTTTTTTTGGATTTATCCTTCATTCCACCACACTATTTTATTATCTTCCCATCATACCCTCAATAATTTATATCCCCTATCATTATTCATAATCTCACCTACTTTCAATTTGGAAAGATTCCAACGTTACAGAAGTAGTAGGATTTTAAATAAGTTCATCAAAGTTTAGGTGTATTTTATGCAACTTTTAAAAATGAATAAAATTTAGGTGCATCAAAATAGTTGTGAAACTCATGAAATTGAATCATCATTGGTGGACTTGAAAACTCTATATAACAGTTATTGTAGCTAAGCACATAATGGTAACAACGATGGATGATAAAGGACAAGAAAAAGAAACGACTTCACTTTGTCGGAAGTTGGTTTGATGGATCACATTAAATTTGGATCGGAATATGAAGTGCACGATAATAGCCTAATATGAAATTAAAAATAATTGTAATTTAAACAAATCTCTTTTATTATAAATATATCTGGACTCCTTTTGGTGTATTCTTTCTCATTATTTCATACACGAGAGTATGTTTGAAGAAAAGGGAGGCAGTGGTGTTTGTTATTAACATGAATAAGAAGATTACCATCAATGGCCTCAAAGTTTCAGGTGTATCTATATATTTATACAAGTTTTAAATTTTACAAAAAAACTTTTGATCAATAGTGGATAATATTAATAAATGAGGATTAATTAATTTTGATATAGTTTTTTGGCCAATACTTCATTTGAAGATTGAATATATAATGGAGCTAGTTAACCACGGAAAAATAGAATAATAAAGAATGGGGTTATTTGAGTTTGCACCCCATTTTATTGTCTAAATTGGACTTTGCACCCCGTTTTTTAAAAAACTTTGTATTTTCATCCCAACCCCTTCTGAAAAGACAAAAAATGCCCTTAGATAAGGAATATCTTGAAGGCCAACAAAATTGTTAATGGAGGGCATTTTTGTCTTTTCACAAGGGGTGGGGGTGGAAATACAAAATTTTTTAAAAACGAGGTGCAAAGTCAAATTTAGACAATAAAATGAGGTGCAAACTCAAATTACCCCTTTTAAAGAATTTTAATTAAGACGTCGAGATTGAACTCATAAGGAGAAGGCCTAAAGGTATTAGCTACGAGGGTACAAGGTTTGAGACTTTGAGCTGAGAGATTGAACTCATAAGGAGAAGGAGCTAACTTTTTTAAAAGAGAAATTTATTATTAACCCCTGGGATTATGTCATAAATATAAATGCAACCTTTCATTTTCAAAAATCAATTAGTTACCCCCTCGCTTTTGATCATTCTCACTATATGCCCCTTCATTTTAATATTTGTTAAATTAAATTCAATTTAACTCTTATATTCAATGAAAATTGTCTATAAAATTAAATTTTAAAGTAAAAAACCCAATTTATTATCATAAATATAAGTCTTTCTTTATATCATTATTTATGTACTTAGTTACTCGATCGTAGAATAAATATTAATAAAAGTAGCTAACTCATAAAATTCATGAGCTGAGTAATATTCATGAGATATATCAAAGAAAGTTTTTTTTGAAATACGTGTTATTAAAGTTTGAAACACCACTTCATCAGGAATATAAGAGTATTAGTTGTAATTTATCCGGTTGAATAAATCTCAATGCATTTCTTTTGTGTGCAGCAAAAAATAAATACCAAGAAAAAAAGAATTTTATCAA